ACTGCACCTCACGTGTCACTATGATAAAACCACATGTTCATGAACTTATACTATTAACACAGCTCTACAACTATTTCTAAAACACATTAGGTCATAAAATAAATTCTACAAAAATAGATATTCAACTGATGCTATTTCAAATATTTGTAGACGCAGGTGCGTGGGTTTTCATCATGCACTGACCTACTGAGGGCTTCCATGCTACCAGAGGGGCTGACATCAAGATGGCTGGGGTGCGAGGCAGGGTCTGGGGTGTCTCGGTGAGCCAGAGTTATGGGAGATGTCTCCATCGCCTCTGGACTTGGGCTTCTCAGTTCAGAACTTAGGGACAAAACTATTGGAATGGAGCCAGGTCTCACATGAGGCAAGTGTGCAGAGCGGCTGGGCTGAAGGACAACTTCAGGCATGCTGTCACTCTTCCCTTTCTTCACCTGTGATATGGAGAGGAAGAGAAAGAGAGATTAACAACAGGCGAGTCTCGTGACAGGAAATATGAGACCGCTCAGGAGGGAAATGAGACACGGCTAACGTGCTCAATCATACTTGTATAACCACCAAAACAGAGAAACCTTTTCAACCTTTGCTCTGGTTACAATAAAACATGTGTTTCAAGGATCTTCTGAAGTGAGGCGGGGAGCAATAAAAGAACCACATCAGAGGGTAGGAGAGAGAAGAGGTTAGCTTATAAAACCATGAGGTTAGACTGATGTTTGTCTTACCGTGCTGACGCTGAGTGGGTATAAACAGCGCGAACCACCAACTGTCGTGTAGGAGAAGAACCTTAACCTAATTACAGCCACATTGTGAAAACCACCCCTCTGCATTTTTCAATCGATGACACCTTAAAGAAGTATTAGAGAATGTGTCAAGAAAGTTTGCCTGTGCACAATGAAGCCAAATAGCCGACTGGCTGTGGTAAAAAGAGGATGAATTGTGTCTGACGCCAGCAGCTTCAGTATTGATAATGGTAGGAAACAACCAATGCTATTGGAGGCTTTGCTCTAGATAAATAATTGCAGGCTGAATTAAAAGGCTCACTGTTTTACACCAATTATAGGTGGAACATTTCCATTTGGAGTTTAACTTAATGGCTTGCTCTAAAATCTATGGATACACTTCCATTTAGACATGTCATTGGTGCACTTAATGGGCAAATTTTTCGGAAAGTAATTAGCTCTACAAGTACTTTATCTAGAACAGGTATGGATTTTGTCCCTCGTGGCTGTGTAATTGATTTATCTAAATTTGTCATTCAGAGAAATCCACAGAGGAGGAAAATTAGATTAAAAAGAAGACATTTCATCAAAACCTGGGGAGATATTACGGAGACAACTGACATTGACAAGTCCCAATTCTCCAATCCAGGTATATAAGGGTGTTTCTCTTATCTCTTATTTTGCTTCTTAAAATAAATAATTCAACTTTAATATGAAAAAAGATAGAAGACAGATAATTGTGAAATTCATACAGATATTTAGCTGCTTTCCTGATTCTCAGTTTCTGCCTGTGCATAAAATAAGTGTTCAAACTTAGCAACAGCAGTATGCATAGGAAATGCATAGGTCAGATAGTAAAGAAGCCCGGCAGACAAAAACGAGGATATGACCTGGTTTCCAAAACAGGGATTAACTAATAATTTAAAAGTTTGTGACCAAAAAAGACTGCAAAGAAAATTAAATATTCAGTACTTCATATTCTTTCTCTGCAGTGATCTGCTGCACTGGGAAGGCAGTATTGAATGGCCTTAAAGCAACCTGCACCTCTGATGACTGATGTCTATTCAGACTGGTGACAGCCCATCTCAAAGATGTCGAGCTTTTCAGAAGTGAGTCTGCAATATGATCCACACCTGTTCTCCTTTGGCAAGACCACAACAAACACTTTCACTAGAGTTTTTAAAACAGAGACATTTAGCATCTGTTACAATGTTATCATTGTAACAGATTTGTGTCATTAATGATATTCTTTGAAAAACAAGGATTTAGTAATATTCTACCAATTCTGTCTACCTTTGAGGTATGAGTCCTATGTATTGTGTGTGTTTGTGTGTACTCCTTTTGTTCCCGCTTTTGTACCTTTTCCAGCATAAACACTGACAAAGCCTGGTCCTTGTCCTAAGGAGGGAAACATAATTTCTGAGGTCCTGGTTAATGTTATGTGCAAGATTCAAATTATGTTTAGGTTAAGGATAGTGCCTGATGCGTTCTAACAAGAATAGTTACGCAAACCATGTGTGTGTGTTTACAACTTCCCCCTTTGATCACCTTTGGTCAACCTTCTTAATGACAGGTGCATAATAAATTAAACAGATATAATGGACATGTTTAGGGCTCCCTAACTGAAGTGTGTGCAGTGTTTCTCTCACCACCAATAAATAAAATCACTTTCATAGACCATAAATAAGGACAAGCCATTTACGGTCAATGCCAATTTCACTATCATTGGCAGTGAAGGTTGAGTTCACCTTTAGTCATTGGGATCAGAAGTTGGCTATTCAATATTAACTTAGAGTCTCATAAACATCCGGCTCTACATATTTTCATATTAGTTTAATGTCGATGGTTTCATATGAACAGTGTTGTAATAGCACCCCCTACTGGCAGAGCTCTACGGCAGTTGTTGCCTAACTGACATTGTTACATTAACTGTTCGACATCGACCGTGTTGGAGCATGAACTGTAGGTGTTGCTACAGCGCCCGTGATAATAATAACCCAATTTATTGCAATCTACTGAATAAACTGTCGTTGATAAGTTGATTATATAGTGAATCGTAAATGATGGTGGGTTATTTTGAACAGTTTTTTCAATGATTAGTTGACTGTTTTCCAAGCTAGCTAACGTACAAGCTAAATGGAGAAGCTAATGTATGCTAATATGATATTTTAAGTAATACTATCTGTTCAATTACATGCGCATTTGTTCGATTAATTACTACACCTACTACTTATTAACACAGTTACACAACTATATAAAATAAAACATTTACGGTTATTCTCTGTCTTCCACACTTGGTAGAGTTCATTGAGTGGATTGCTGCATGGCTGCTAGCTAACTTCTCAGTTTAAAATTTTTAACAATTTCAGGCATTTAAAATCCTTAAGCTCTTAGTACCAGGGCTCCTTTCCATTTTGATCCATTAGCCATACTGTTTATCCCTTTGGGGGTAAATGGGGTGGCTAGAGTCAATCCCAGCTAGGGAGGGAGTCAGGTTATACCATGAACAGGTCACATAGAGACAAACAACCATTCACACACTCATTCAAACCAATGGTTTGAATTGGAGAATTGAATTTAGGGTTGCCAACCAACCTAAGCTGTATTTCTTTGGACTGTGGGAGGAAGCAGACGTGGGGAGAACAGACTCCACACAGACGGATTGGAAACAAAAGGAGGACAGGAAATACTCTTCATCATCACATGTTTTTTACTCTCTTGAGATTACAGTATCTTACTGTTGGTCAGCATTTCCTTTATCTCTACAGTGACACTGGTCTTGATATGTTCACCACATTATGGCATCAGATCTTTGTTAAAACCTGCATTGGAAGCAGCCACAGAAAGATCATTTTATTACTACTCATTTTACCACATTCACAAATGAATGTGCATCTTATTTAACTGTGGATGTTAGATCCAAGGGTCAGAGTTTAAAACAAAATCTAATTCATCAGATGTTGCTCCCTTATTGACCTCTATAATGTTAACAAATGAATCCAGAGCAGGTTGTAAAACATGTACACAAACAGGAAATCTCTGAGCTTTAATTCTACTCATATCTATGGCCAAATGTTGTTATTGTGATGGAGTTCATCTGTAATTCTACCACATCAAGAGTCAGAGGAGCATAACATAACCCATGTTATAATAAGCGTTGTTTTTTCCTGTTGGAGATTGCCTTTATCAAATCATGTGACTGGGCAGCTAGGCCACAGGCATCAGAGGCTGTCTGAGAGACGACCTCAGGCTAATCAGCACGAAGGCAATATAGCCGATAAGACAGCAGTAGTTAGATATTTATTGGAAAGGGTGAGAACTGGGCTGTAGTAAACCATGAGGTAAATCCTCTTAAAGGACAACAATTAATCACACTAGCAAACAGCAGACAGTAGCAAACTTATTTACTGTACCTTCTTCCTCCTTGATCTTGCCTTTGCAGTGTTAGAGGTGGATTTGATCAAAGGTCCGGGTACGTTTTCTGGAACGTCTTTTTGTCCAACCTTGAAAAATTCATAAAATAAAAATTAGTGTAAAAAAAGATTTAGGTAAATTTTTAATTGTTTTCCTGCTGTGTGGAGAATGTAGCCATCAGTATTTTATATAACCAGGAAAAAGTGATGTAATAAAATCAGAGCAGGCGTGAAAATATTATCAATCAATGTTATATGTTGTCATAAAACTAAATGTGACATACAGTGGTTATGGTTTCAGCATGAGTGTCTGTTATACATTGAAAATAGGTCGTCGTCGTCGTGGTCGTCGTCATCATTGTGTTTGTGTGAACACCATTCCAGGCAATATAGACAGGTCAGCTGACACTGATAACATCTTAAAATCTCACAGAAACCCACACAGAATTGGCTTTGGTGTCGGAAAACAGCTTTTCCAAAACATGCCCATGTTATGTTAATCACTTCAGACAGATCACATGGTTAGTGTTAAAAAGGACTATGAAGGGTTCATGCAAGTTTGACCTGTGAATGTCACACATAAACAACAACACTGCATTTCACAGCACTCAGACTCGGACAAAAGCTTCCACAACCGCTACACTGAAGAGCATGAACGCATAAACAAGGACACACACATGCAGGCATGCTACAGAAAAGCAGAGCACGCACTTTTGTCCTGGGAATTGGTGTTGGTGTCTTCGCATTGAGGTGGCTGGGTGACTTTGTGTTTGTGTCCATCACGCACGCCTCCTGGGACCAGAAAGAGGACAAAGATGACAGTCATTCTTTGTATTTGCAATCTATATCTTACCAACAGTAGAGTAACAAAGGAGAACACATTCTATTTCACAGAGCCCAGGAAGCTTTGCTTGCAGGTATGTGGGCACTTTTCTTCTGAGAGCCCCAACAACAGGCTTCAGAATAGATTTTAGTAGGGTGACGACCTGCATTCTCAAAACATAAACACTTTCGCGTGCACCTCCTTCTCATCACCATTTTATGAACTTAAAGGCAACACCAGTGATCATGTGTGCTAAGTTCAGAGGCATCAAGAGGAAGCTGGCGAGAGGCCTCCACAGGCTGTGTGCGTGCGCATATACTGTATATGTTTAGTGTTTTTGTGTATGTGTGCATGCCTGTGTGGAAGATGATCTTATCTGACTGAGGGGTTTACCATAACTCAGCAGGGTCTCATGTGGCAGTGCCTTTACAGGCATTCGCAAAACACATCCCCAAAACTTGTGACCAGAAAAATTGCACTGTGTAGTCAAGGTGTTTCCAGATTTAATTTGACTTCTAAAAAATCAGGGACTTTGGATTTTATGAGCTGAGGTGCATGTGATCACTTGATGTCTTCAGCATGGTAAGCATAGTGTAACATGGGAAACGTAGCAATATGTTTGATGAACAGCAGGAGAGGTGCGAGGTCAAAGCCACGGGGATCTGAACACCTTGATCACTGCCTGGCCACCCTACTGTGGCATCAGATTGCCCAAGTCACGTTTCATGGCAATAACATTATTGAGCGAGATTAAGCGAGAATCAAGAAGTTGTCTCCAGACTGCTGTGAGGATGTATTTCCAAAAGTGGAAGTTAGGACAGGGTTTTTCTATTCTGTTTGTGATATGTTAGTTGGGAAGATACTCATGCTGCAGTTGCTGCAAAAGTCAATATTCCTTACATTTCACAGACTAGAATTATTTTAATTTGTTGTGATTTTATGCTACAATTTTTCTAATTATATTTTAAACATTTTAAGATATTAAATATGTCATGCTAACAGTTATTTCTTATCCCAATAAATCTTGTTATTGCAATTTAGTTCTTATTCTGTAAAATTCTGTGATAAATCTTTATTTAGTCAGTCAGTATTGGCCTCCTGTAATCTTTTTTATAATCCTGGCTAATTCCCAAATTTCTATACATTTGTGATGCATGAAACAAATGAAATTGCATCAGAAACAAATAAAGTTTGAATCAATCAACACTATTCTTCATGGACTTTTGGAATCTGAGTAAATCTGACGGATGGTTTGTTGTGTAATTCCTCAGGTAGCTACAGATGCAACCAGGAAACCAGCAGACCAGCCGATCAATAAAGACATCAGCCATGCAAGCAGCAAATATAAATCAACAATCGCAGACTCAAAAGAGCCACCTGTGGGGGAGTTGCTCCTGCAAGGCTGTGATGTATGATCAATACTCAAATCAATTTAAGCAGATATTTATAAACCATCACTCCACAAATGAAATTGGCAGATGGTGAGAACACAGGGCAGAGAGGAGGAACTCACATTTTTTCAACTGCATGGGCACAACATGTGGCTCTCTGTGCTTTTTCTTTCCTACGTCACTCACCACCAGCACAGGTCTATTCCATAATAATAGGAGGGCAGAAGGGCAGGCCGCCCAACAGTCCCCTTATGAAAACACATTTAAATTCCAGAGATCCTTATATTTATTTGATTTGGACCAAACTGCACACTCCCATTAACATCAGTCCCCTAAACATGCCTGGTTTTTTCATTCAGTTCCATCAATTATTCTCTGGGGAGTGGGGACCTGCGGAATTTTGAGAAACACCCAATTTCACAATGTTAAGGAAAGAGAAAAAGATCCAGACTAGGATTTGCACCAAATTTAATGGATTCTTTCCTGATCCAAAACACATCCTTCCACCAACTTTCATGGTAATCCTTCCTGTAGTTTTTTCATAACCCGGCTAATTTATTAATTGACAGACAGACAGACGAGCGAACGCAGGTGGAAACATTAACTTCTTGGCGGGGGTAATGAACAGCTGATATTCCAATGAGTATACAATACCTTGACAATGATTAGGGTAGATAGTTCTTCTGAGCAGCTTTCTTTTTCTTTGTCTTCCTCAAAAATGTTGCTGTAGTTCTGTATGAGCTTGACCATGAGCTTGTTACAGATATTTTGGTCCTTCATTGCTTCAAACCCAGGAGCCACACTGGGATAGAGAGTAAAGGGACAAAACAAAATCAAATAAATCAGATATCATCAGAGTAAAAACAGATTTCTGGTCTACATTTTACTTTAAAGAATGTGCTGCGTTGAACAAAAACAGTTCAACAGAGTCTTTGATTCAGTCGTGACACGGAAATGGAAAGTTGGTCATCAGTCGAACTAGATTAACGCAGCAGAGCTCAGCTGCCTCAGTGAGTGCAACGTCTGATGCGGTGTGAGTTGTTACTGAACAGCTGTTTGAGATGTACACCGCTGGGCTACAGGCCAAACTGTGGGCCTGATTACATAACATCAAATACACACAGACACACACGTACAGAGTGTGATGAGGAGAACGGGTTGTACACATTATACAGTATCCAGTACAGTGTCTTCTTTTTGGCTTTCTCCAGTGGGACTTGATACATTTTCTATGCAGTACACCCACGTTTATTACTGGACGTCTGGAGAACAGAGCAGCTGTAGGTCAGGAGAGTTAAGAGTATGAATGGAAAAGCACTGGCCAATAAGCCCTTGATAGAAAGAGGAGTGAGTTATGTATCTGAGCAGCTACAGGGGATGCATATGAAACCATTGACTGTATCTTTTAATATGTGAACAATGGAGAGAGATTTAAAAAGATCAAACTGTTTTCTTTATGTCATATGATGTTTAATTCAAAGTATTTCACTAGACTTAATAAGTTTTATTAACACATCTGACTTGAGAGATTACCACAGTTCAAAAGCTGCACCAACATATTTCCGGTAACATTGAACCACAGAAGAAACCAATGCTCAGTCAGAGCAGTTTAACACGGGCGTCTGACAAGCATGAAGAGTCATATTATTGGGATATTTCACTTGAAGACATTTAACACTGTGAAACATTATGAATTCAGCTTTTCTACACGAGCAACAACACCATCTGCTGGCTAAACATGTAACCAGACATAAAATAAGGAGGAAAATGACAGCAGCCATGTGCCTAATTTTAAGTCTACTCTTAATGTTAATACTTTTCTGATTAACGTCTATATTTGCTTGTTGTTTTCTTTATTAGCAAACTTAGATGTTTCACCAGTATTGGCTGCAATTCAATATTAAAAAAGCTGTTTCCATTTTGAAACAAAGATCATAACTTTTATTCTGTTGTCAGTAAAATATTTCCGCTCTAAAGCCACTTTCAGACGTGAACTATGGTAAATGTCTGGAAAATTGGGTGCAAACTTTTTATGGAATTTGCCTTTCACATATGAAGAACCCAGGAGTAGACTGTCTGAGTCTGATAAGTTTGCAACAAAAGGAAAATGTTGGATGAGGGTGTCGCCTGGGAAGAGCATGCAGGAGGCAGGACATTATGTATAATTTCCGCTACGGAAATCATTTATTTTTGTTTACAGTATATCAACACTGGCGTCGGCCCTTATCACCAAAAGCTCTTGAACTTGTTGTCTTTCCAACTTAACTAATTGTCGGCATCTTCTATGTCTATGAATGACTCTGCTCTGGCATATGAAACCTATGTTTAATATCTAACTCACTAGGCAGAAATAGTGGGATCATGATTGAATCCTGCAGCATCTGCTATCAAGACGATCTGGCCTGCATATTTTTTTCCATGTGAAATGAAGCTGTCTCTCTCTGTTAGTCATCTAAACACTGCAAAAAACATAGTTTGCAAATGTCAAGTCACAAAACTTTCAAGACTTTGAGTTATGTTCTTCAAGGACATGAAGGAGGTTTGTATATAAGATTAAAAGTCAGGTCGCCTCCATTGCTTTGAATCATTAAAACCAATGTCAGACTGAGGCATTCTTTTTATCTTAAGCCAGTGATTACCACCACCAAGGAGGTTTATGTTTTCACCCATTTTTTTTTTTTTACTATAAACATAACAGCCAAAGATAATCCTTAAAGCTGCAGTAATTCATATTTTTGCATGGATCGAACTCTTTCTCTATTTTTTGTTTTCTGACCTGCAACTTTGCTGTTCTTACTCACTCTGATCATCTCATCATCCCAGCCACTGCAGGCCGCTGTTAGTGAAGAGGTTAGCTGCTTAAGATCCAGATATTTCCTTCAGTTCCATCAAAGTTATGTTAGACTAAATTAGAGCCATGAAAGGGGTACAAACAAATGTACTGAATGTCTGAAGTATTCGATTCCTGAATTACTTTCTCAAACTCATGTTGCAAGAAGTCTGCTCTAGTGAACTGTCCGTACCTGCAACTTCAACATTATATCCCAAACAACTGGTTGCTGTTTGTCTCACTTATCCTATTTGATTGGATTAAAAAAATAATATTCGTCCAGCTTTTTTGTAGCTAGTATCTTAGAGTGGACAGAATTGACTGAAACAAGGATACAGCGATACACAATCAAGTGGGGTGGTGTGGAGGTGGCCCTTTGCCCCCGCAACTTAGTTCCAGCACCCTTAAAAAAAAATTCTTGAAAAGCTGCATTGGTGTTGTCATTGGTGCATTGGTATTAATATTTGAATGCTTCACCAACACAAAAAAACTTTAACTTACTGGAAGACGCTGGGTCCAAACACGGTGGCGAGGTTGAGGGCAGTCATGCGGTTGTCTTTGTGGTTGCACTCGACGAGCGTAAGGAAGTGGCAGAGGTAGCGGAGGAGGCTGTGGTGAACATCTGGAAGCTGCTGGAGCAGGTCTCTCATATCTGACCAAGAGCCATCATCACCGCACTCTACACAAACACAGCAAGATGTCAGAACAAGAGTATAATGTTGGAACAACGTCTACATGGATAGCAATATTCCAATTATTGACCTTATTCTGAATAAGACATTATTTTGATGATGATGTTTACATGAGTTGCTAAAAGAATATTGGACTCTAATGAGTTCTATTCTAGTTAAGACTATTGTCTTAATCTGGTTAATATCACAGTATTGCTGTCCAAAACATAGTCACTGCTATTTCAGGAAAACTGACATTTCTGGCAAACAAACTTTTGCAGAAGAGCTGAAACATGCTCTGGTGCTTAGAGCAGTCTTTTTACAACACCCACATTCTGCTCTAGTCTCTGCACAATCAAATCAAATGACCAGTGATTAGTGACGTGACTGACCGGATTTCCTGGAGAACAGTAGACACTACGCAAAGCATGAATGAACTCAAATCCTTAGTTTGGCAAATTGTTTTACAGCCAGTCTCCAGCAGGCAGTGATCTCTCCGTCCACCTGCTCTGTGTAATATCTAATCTTGAGTTGTGGTGACTAGTAATACGTGAGCATTAGAGCAAAGAGCCTGAAAATATGTTGATGCTATTACTCTGGATACATAAGTGGGTCAGAGTTGGATAAACGGATATGGCTACTGATCCTGAATGACAGAGTGACGCAAACGTTTGTGAGTACGTGCACGTACGCAGGTATGTATGTGTGTACATCTGTCTGAATATGTGGAGGAGGTAATTATGACTCCAGTGACCTTAAGCACTTACAGTTGTTTTAGACCTTTGCCATTTTGACATGACATTGGTAAACATAGGTGTTACTAATCACGTTGATTATAGAGCAGGACCTTTGTTCATTTCATTATTAACACATGGGTTCACTTCTCTTTCAGATTGCAGAACAAATTCCCTATGTGGGCGAATAAGATATATATTGACAAATGTCCTTTATCAATTAGTATTTTTATAATCTGAACAGTCTCTCACTGACCTGATCAATCAGCATCTCATGTTTATTTGCCCTTGAAATTGTAAATTAGTCTGGTGATGTCAGCCTAATCTGTCAATGAGTATACTGCTAATCAGACTGCTTGTCAAGATACCAATCCACTCATTTGTCAAATTGTGTTTATTTTTCCTGATAATGGGGAACCAAAGCAATTTATAAAGTATGCAAAAAATATAATGTTTTTAATGTAACAGTCAAGTCCTGCACCAATGAGTGGTTTTCTAATGCAGCCTTTGGCGATGAGCCCTGAAAAATCTGCTGATGTATAAAGTATGTGGTCTATGAGGGCAAAACGATTACAGCAGTCAAAATGTACACTCCTCTCTCCAGAGATTAAACCCTATGATGGAGGAGTGCCGGGAGTGAGCAGTTTCAACTGCCAAATGATTCACTTTACCTTTTATGGCCTCCAAGATTATTGACAGAAAAAGAGGTCCATCACTCCTCTATTCACATAGACTATATGGATCTCTCTCACACACACTTGATGCAGCAGTGCCTCTATGTGCACCGCCTGATGCAGATGTCTGCCGAGCAAATAGAAATGTTCACCTTCTAAAGATAGCTTTGCTTATCGTCCCATCGGAGTCACGACCCAGATATTCACTACACTTGTGAGGGTTTCAGTATCTCAGCCGTTCATGATAAATATCACATGACAGATTAAAAATCTTAAACTGGTCCATTCGAGCTGGCAGCATACATCTAGAAGAATACAAGCACAGAAATGTTCTCCTACCTTGGAAGTGCTGTATTAGAGCCTGCTGGACTGTTGAGTCTACCAGACCGTCTGGCAGCTCCCTGAGATACCGTTTCAGCAAACTAGCCACTGTACACGTGTCAGATTCAGAGAGAAGGTCCACTTCCTCGCCTCCCTCCAGCCGCTGTTTCAGGGTCTCCACAGCCCGGACGTTCCCATTCACTCTGAACAGGCCTTCCTGATGCAGGGCTGGAAGTCAGAAAAACAACATTATTCAGTTACAGTTGACTCATGTGGGATAAAGAACTAGCAATCACTCAATAATATAGCTTACTTTAAGTTCAGGTTAGTTTAAGTAAGTAGCTTTATAATTGTGTTTTCAGTGAGGCTAAAAGTATTATATTCTATATCTATATTTTATTTTGAAATCTAAGTCTATAGCTGTGATGTCCGTCCATCCTTGGAGCAATATCTCAATAACTATTAATTCAAACTTTATGGTCATAGAAGATTTGATGTGATGTGGAAGGATAGATTTAATGATATAGATAAAAAATAAATGTCCAAAATGGTAAATTCAGAGCTCACTGAATTAGATTCATTATGCCTGGCTTTTCCTGGACAGTACTAAAGCTAAAGTTAATCTAACAATGACGATCTTCATTGGTATAAAGAAGGCACTTAGCCATAGCCTGGTGGTGTGGCTAATGATGTGGCTAATGATGTGGCTAACAATCCTTGTAGCTAACTCGTCGCTCGTTCCTGTACATGCTAACCTACCGTGACAGGTGCTGGCTGAAACAGCAGCTATGCCAACATGTGACTGTGAGGTGATGTTACCTGGAGCAGCTAAATACACCGACAAGCGTCAGTGAAGCCAGCTCCTGTAGGACGCTGGTTAGCCTTTAGCTCAGATGCTGCGATGGTCGACTTTAGCGACGCGAAGTTAAAATAGTAAAAACTGTTGCTTCCAGCTGAGGCTGTTGTTTCCACGGCGACCACTAGATGTTGCCAGGGAGACGTATTTTACTGACGGTGCTTTGTGATTGGTCGCGTCACTCTCACGAGGAGCATCTCACTTTGGTTTTATCTGCTTATAAAGAAACTTTTTACATTCAGTTTTCATTCGCCCATATATATATATATATATCTATCTATGTAATATTATGTATAATATAATGTCAGTTATTTAAAGGTCAGTTATTTCACAAAGACTCGCTCATCGTTTTTTTTCTCTTTAAAATAGTTCCTCTTTGATAATTTGATAATTTAAGTAATTTAAAAATCTAAATGTATTTATACAGCCCATATTCACAAATCACACTTTGTCTCATTGGGATAAACAAGGTGTGACATCCTCTGGTCTTAACCCTCAACAAGAAAAGAAAAAAAAAGAAAGAGAAAAGAAAAACAACAAAAAAACACTTTCACAGTGGAAAAAATAGAGAGAGCCACATCTCCTCTCCCAGGAGGGACAGTAGTGCGTTAGATTCCACGTGTAACTGAACACATCAACAACATGATAATATTTACAACATTGATCAGAAGAAACAGTTTGTAACATAATGGAGTAGTGTGTCCATTTTTAAAAGTATTTGTACATAAGAAAATGTCTGATAGAGATGAAGGGAGCAGCACTGACAAATGAATTGAGGAGTTATTGTCAGTAATGGTAGAATATGTCAGTAGGTGTATTGTATTGTCAGTTAACAATTTAAATATGCTTGACCAATTGACAAAAAACTAAAACAGTCTGATGAATCACAATCCATGAGTTCATTATGGAGGACTGGTCATAAACTGATATTCAGCCTCAGTGGTGCAAATCTATAACAAATCTGCAATGATGAATCATGAAGGCAGAAATACAGCAGAGGAAACATGGAGCTCTTGAGGCCCCGTGGCGATTGACCACTCAAGTCATGATGCACTACAGAGCACTGACAGATGACGTGAAAAATAAAAATACCATAGACGCATGCGCAGGATCATACACCAGCCTTGACATGCTCTGGCTAATTTACTATATGCATAATATTCACATCTTGGCCCACATGCAGTGAAAACTCTCTTGAGGAAAGGGGCTGAGGCCTTAAATCACAGACATTTCTCCCAACAACCTCAAAGAAGATACATGTTTGGATTGAACATTGAAAATTGAATGTCTCCTTTAGCTGAGCTCTGCTGATACTTAAACTAAATTTCCTTAAGGAGGCATTTTCACCTCATGGATTTCTCCACAGGGCACAAGGGAAAGCATCAGAATCAACATTTTAAAGAAGCCTTTGTGAGTAGAAACACAGAGGCCATAACACAAGATGCAAACCCCTCATTCGCAGTAAGAATTGACACACCAGATTGGACTTTGCATAGAAGTACAGAGATCAGCTTCGTTACTACCACAACAAGAATTAACCTCTAAAAGAATGCAAAGGTTAAAGTGGGGGAAAAAAGAGGAGCTGTTTGTGGTCCAGCTCGTCCGTGAAGCTTGGAGGTGTGATGTGATGACTGGGACTTGCATGGCTGATCCTGGAAAGGGCGCTCTGATGTTTACTGATGATGATGTAACTTATGATGGCTGCAGCGGAATGAATGGAGAACGCTATTCACCCAAACGTAACTGGAGGCGTTACATCATGCAGCACGATAATGACATAAAACAAAGGAGTTCATCAGTGGAAGGTTGGTCTAGTCAATCACATGGTCCTTACCCAACAGAGCAGCATTTCAACTCTAGAGCCCATGTGGTCAAAGACTGGAAGAGCATCACACCATGGCAGACAAATGTAGATTTTAGGTCATGGTATAATGTATCTGTTCTTTTACTTTTGATCAACTTAAAAGGGAATAGTCTGATACAAAATGTGCTATGTCTTAAGCTATTTAACACGTCTAAAGAGTTGAAATTCTGTCCTCTTTTAATCTTAGACTCAAATGTCTGATGTTTACAACAAACACAGTAGAATTGGCTTGGCCATTTTAGCTTTAAAGGGACTGTACGGGCCAGTGTTGCCCAGACCAATATGGTGGACGTGTCTATGTTCAACCAATATGTCTATACCATTGTGTATCATTGTAAAGAGCCTGAAGTTTGTGTAAGCATGAGGAAAACAAGTTCTACCATCATGTTCTGACATCTAGTGTTCAAACAGAATAACTACATGTGGGAAAAGTAGGTCATAACATGTTTGAGCTCTTTAACTGAAAACCTTTGTGTTGATTGTGTTAAAATGCATGCTCTGTAGTTTTTGATTATACTGCATCAAACTATAAAACAAGTGTACTTTTTGCTCAGACTACATTATTGTAGTTAAAGTGCAAAGCATAACTATACAACAATCCAATGTTCTTTTTGACAGTGCAGACATGACGCTCACTGTGACTGATGCCTGGCAAGTTTCTGAACTGAATATATATGTGTGGAAATGTAAAAGTAATACATTCAAATTTGTAGAGTCTAAGCTAAAAACATTCTGAATGTTTGTAATGAAGGTGATGCTTTGATTGCTATTATTATATAACTTCAACTATTAATTTACTTGAACCAAATCATACAATAACACAGTTGGTCACATGATAATATACCAGTTTAACTCATTTCATGTTACAAAATGTGGGATTTGATTTAATATAAAAAATTATATATATATATATCTATATATAAAAACAAAATTCCTACTCAACAGAAAGAGAAGTTCAGAATGGGACACTATAAATTAGTTTTTCCTCACCATGATTGCGGAGATGCTCCACCATCCTCTGCACCACCAGAGGCACACCGTTCTCCACCAGGCCCCTCTGACGCAGCTCAAACAGGGACGCTCCAAACAGCTTGGTGTGCTTTGCTCCCACCATCCTGGGTCTCAGCATGGGTATCTGCACCATCTTCTTCATGTCTTCTTTAACCTGCACTGCCGTCTTGTTGTGCTGCACAGAGAAGAGCAGAGAGCAGTCCTCACGCACTGACACTGTGACCACAGACGGCGGTGATGGAAACCAGCATCAGGTTGGGTGAGACTCTGCTGAGACGCCTGTACTGGACGAGGGAGGCTCACTCTGCTCCATGGATGAAAAGTGCGTGTGTGGAGGGGATGCTGGTTTAGGCGTCTCTATGCATTGTCAGTCCACTTGAGGTTCAGAGCGTGTTGAGAGCTGGGAGGTAGAAAAAGAGGGCTGGCCGTGCATGTGTTGCTACGACAGATATCAGGTTACCATGCAACACCTTTGGATCAAGATATCGCCAGAGTGACACAGACACCTACTCAAACATACATACGCACAAGTAACACATCAGCAAAGACATAGAAGAACATTTTAAATACTGGAGGAAATGACATGTATCACAGAATGATGAGTAAATGTACTTCCCCCTGTGATGTGCTCTAGTTGTCAGGCTGAGCTGATTCGTCACAAGAGCAGAGTCCAAGCACAAAGTGTAAGTGCTAACTCACCAGCTGTTTTCTAATCTGATAACTACTGCTCAGGCAAACAGTGCTGCATGTTGTCCCAACCTCTAGAAAACACTCTGGTGTGGTGTGAGCACTGAGTGTACACAGACTACACAGACACCATCCCCATTCACTGAAGCAATATCAGATGGATAAAGGTGAATTACCGATTTGTTTACCTACAGCATAATGTATTTCTGTCTTGTGCTAGTAGAAAGAGAGAAGACACACAAACTGGAAGCAGCATTCGGACACTGCGAGGGGAGAGGGAAAAAAATACTTCCTGCACTTTAAACCAACACAGATCCAGAGCAGGTTTAACTCTTGTAACCATGGGTACAAATGCACCATGTGACATCCTGTCATTCCAGAGTTCACCACTTCAACTCAATGAACTGGCCTGAATGAGAGGCCCTGACGATGATCTGAAGCCTGCAGTGGTTTTACTGTGTTAGGGGGTGGTGAGGAGCAACTAGTGCAACTAAGTTTATTTCCTCTGCCAAGGGGGTTATGTTGTCATCTGCGTTTGTTTGTCGATTAGCTTTGCTAAAAAAAACAGATTACAGCAAAAGGAGGATGCAGCATGAGAAGAATTTTGGTGCTGATCAGGATCAGAGGTAGATCCTGGATTATTTGATTACTTTCTTTAATGTTCACCATTTTCCCAGAGAAACAAAGTATTGATCTCAATCAGTGTGTGAAATCTGGTGCAGCTTGACTGAATTCACGGGGACTATTGGGCCTTGGAGGTATACGCTCTACTCAGTGCCATTCCAGCTCCCTATGTGGCCAATTATTAAGACAGAATAGGCACGAGCATGTGTCACAGTCAGATCAGCTGATTAAAAAACCCACCTCACAGATGGCGCTAAGATGGCTAAGAAGACGAGATCTTCACAGCGGCAGATGCTTTAAAATGACGTGCACCCACACTCATATGAGCATCGGAGGAGCTTTCACAGACGAGGAGATATGTGTTAATTATGCTAGCTAATCCACTCCTCTCTGACAGGTTCATAAAAAATATTCAAGTTGCACCTCCCCAGAGAGTGAGAAGATAATTAAGTACACTTGAATTTTGATTCTGGCTGCTTCATGCTTTGATGGCAGCAATACTTGGTGGGCTGAACAGCACTGACATGTAATATGTTAATGGAGTAGACTGTTTAGATCTGCATGAGTCTGCAGGATATTAGCATTCTGATTGAATAAAAGGTTTGGTGGTATGAATTTTGGACTGTTTTTAAAATAGAAGATATATTTTTCTAAAATTTGAAGTCTGATATGTCTTCATGATGTAGCAGGTTTGACTAAACAGCTTCTGTAAAGTTAAAAAGGTTTTCTAATCAGAGCGTTTGAGTTTTTAAGTTATCCATATACTTATTCAGCGTTTCCCTTTAAATTACCAAATCCTACAGCTTGCCATGCATATGTGCAAACAGTCCATTCTTGGTAATAATGTTAATAGGTCAACGTACAGTTTAAAGGCGATGGGTGAACTTTTTGTGGCTGGAAACTGGTTCCATTAGATGAGCTTAGTCGGTCTGAGCTACTGTAGGTTTGTCTGTTTCACTGTGATGGGACTTACTGAACAGATGTCTCCTAAATCTGTCTTTACTATCATGCACACACACACACACACACACACACACACACACACATCACAATCATATACCAAATACACAAGTCTTAATAAACAAAACGTGAACTAATAGTGTTAAACGCACAATATCAGTAGCAAACATTAGCTTTAAAGATGACAGTAAATGGCTCAACAATCCAATTAAAAACATTGGCTACATATTATAAGAAAAAACTCAAATAAATAAACAATATTTGTGGCAAGAAATCAAACCACAGGCCTCCTATAGAACCCTCAATAATAATATAGTTGTATGTAAATGATTCCTAAGTGACTGGTGCTGTGACATGACATGGCAGATGGTGCCGCCAGGGACTGTCTCCACTGTCAAGGATTTATTTCTCCCTGTTCTGTCTCCTGATGCAATCACTCTGCAAGTATGAGATGTGATTTAAATAACGAGAAGAAATAAAATGGGAGCCTCATTTGCAGACAATACGTGCAACCAGTGACTGTGCTTGCATAGCAAAGAGGGGCAGAGCCTCTTGTAAAGCAAAGCAGCCGGGAAAGAAGGGAAACACACACTTGCAGAATCCATTTGCCTCTATTGTCTACTAGGACGGTCTGCTGTGATTAGCCTAATAATCCTCATCCCCTCTCCCCTCCCCCATCCCTAAAACATTCTCACACTTCAACTTCTGACAGTGAGAAAGAAACCTATTGTCAAAGGTCTACTGAGATACTCCGGAGGCTAATGACGGCTGCTCTAGCTCTAGCTCCAGCCTGCTCCTACAATAAGAAGTGTCTGATAATAATCCATCTTTTCAAGCGGGAGGCTGGAGGCTTTTCTTGAACTTTTCCTACTTTGAGTGGCCAAACAAAGTGTTTTGTTTTTGAACATGTGTCTTTAACTTGCTTGTGAAGGGTACAGCAAGCCCAAGCATGTGCCCTCCACTCCCAACCCTCAGCAGCCCCCTCACCCCCCAGTCTCTCTCTCCCTCTGTGGGTGGCCATTGAAGCAACTGGTAGCAAAAGCACCACAGGCACCAGAGGCAACAGCTGCACAGCTCGCAGACCCAGCTATCAGAGACACAGACCGTTTAAAACACATAGTGGTTTAAATCCTCATAAAGACACTCTGTCCATTGCTGTGGAGTGTGACATCATAGAGGCGCCGGATCACAGCTTATGGAAAAAATTACAGGTACAGACAAGAAACATGAAGCTTAAAGAAGGTTTTTGTCCCTTGTTTTCCCTTTTTCACTGTACTTGAGTTGTACAAAGACGTGGCACAGGGAGGAGAAAGTTTTCTGTGTAGTTTTCACACCAGAATGTATGTATTTGTTTGGAAGTGTTACTCTAATGTAAGGGGGAGAAGTTAGTTTTTCAGCCGGCAGGAGAGATGGAATGTTAAAAAGCTTTTCAGTGTCTTTACAGAACATCCAACACCCAAACCATCACAAACAGACTGTGTAGTCGACTGACACTGAGCAGTTCTGCAATGCATTCTTTGGCCCTTAATCACAGGTTTGAAAGGGAAGTTCTCTCTGAGCCAATTCAGGCTTTGTAGCTTGTACTCACACAGATGGTCAGAGCTCCTGCCCCCATCCTCCCATGGAAAGAAAAACGCTTGCAGAGGCAAAGATGAGGTGAAAAAGTTTCTGCTGTCTTCCTTCTTATTCCTTTCCTCCTCCTCTCCTCACTCTGTGCCAGGACACAGTTGTGGAATTTCCCCCGGGGTGGGAATCCCTTTCACCTCAGAATATGCCATCCAAACAATCCAAAACACTCAACACAGATAATCCACAACAGGAGAGCGTGTGGAGAAGAAGAGCTGTCATGTCACTACCGGCTGAGTATAGACTGTCCAGCCCATGAGCACAGACTGAAACAGCTTGCCTGTCTCTTTCTCTTCCTCCCTCTCTCTGTTCCCCCTCTCTCCTCCTAGGCTGAAATCTGAGCTCAGTTCTCCCATTGGCTGAGGCACCCGGTCATGTGGTTAAAACCCCAAACTTTAAATCTTAGCCTGCAGGATTCATCTGCCTGCAAATGAAGGAAGAGAGGAGGAGGGAGCTGTGGCTCTGAGAGCTGGAGGGTTGGCTTGAAGGAGCACAAACTCATGAATTATTAAAACCGCAGAAAAAAAAAATTTATATGATCACAATCTTTGTATTTTTGAGCCAGTTTTCACTTTATTATTTGTTACTGTAATGGTTATTACACTGTAATTATACACATCTATTCTTCATAGGTTAAACTAAATTCACATATAAACATTGTAAATTACAGGAAATGAGAGCAAAAAAATAAATCAATGTTAGATTTATACATAAAACCTTTTGCATTATTTGCCGAATACATCTTTCTAATTTAAGAGAGAAAATAGAATTGCTAATGGGTCTTTCTTTCTTAAACTTTTATACTGTAAAAAATATGAGAAATATCAGATTTAATATTTAACTTGAGTTTTTCCAATACTATTTCCTCAGAGAATAAATTATAGTTAATCCCATCAATTAGCATGATACTTCACAGTGTCTAGCAGGGAGTAAAACTTAAAGGTGAATCCTAGGGGAAGAGGTACATTGACTTGGTCTGTAGAAGCATACAAAAGTAAAAGAGGTTCAGATCATTATTATACGATAATATTATACTTTGCTGTCATATATAAACTTCTTGATATTGTCGTTGATCCAGTCACTGAAGGCGGACACGCGGGTGAACACAGACGGTTTCTTGTCTTTGATACAGCCCTGTGGTCCGAAGCTGACGATACCGTGAACCTCCCAGATGGTGTTGACTCCAGAGTCAGCGCAGACAAAAGGACCCCCAGAGTCGCCCTGCAGGAAAACAGCAAAGATTTACTGCACAGGTAAGACGGGGGGACATTTGAAACTGACTACTGCTTGAGTCATCTCTGTGCCTTCCAATTTGTGGAGGTATTTAGGTGATGCCTATGTGATTTCCTGTGTTATAAGCTGAGAGGTGGTTTGATGAGAGTCAATGGACTGAAGAAGGCTTGATTAATACTTGGATCTTTGACTGATAGAATCAATCTTGATGTATCCAATGCAGAGTTGATACGTTTTCAAACAAACATGTAATGGTTTGGATATCACCTGAAAGTCCTTTCAGAGAAGGACCATGCTTGGGTTTCATACAAGTACAGAGATTTGATCATCAGAAGTGTTTTTCTAAACTTCTAATCATCCTCGTGTCCTTGTCCTTGCTTGCATGGTTGCTCATTATTTCAAACAAATAATGTTCCTGTGTTCTCTTGTCCAATTATGTCTGAATACTGGGCCGCCATTTGCAATCAAGGCTGACTGATCACAAACAAAACAGTATAGTTACATAACGGACAATACAATCATCAGAGGTTGGCTCATTTATATAATGAAAAGCATGATGGGAATTTCAGCAAACAAGTTTTTTGTAATGCAGTTTTGTTGTGTCCTCTCACCTGACAGGCTGACTTCAGCTCATCTGGAGACTCGTATCCAGCACAGATCATGGAGGGTCTGAGGGTGTCCCACCAGTAAGCAGGTTTACTGCAGGTTTGGAAGTCAACAATAGGAAGTGGGGCTTGATTCAACTGCTCAGCTATTTGGGGAACTGGTGAACCTGAGAAAGAAGAGAAAAAGAAAAACGACAGAACAGACATTTAAAGTTCATCCAATTTGCATCCTGTGAACAACAAAACTTTAACGCACTCTTTAAAAATATCCTTAAAATATCATATTCAAAATTAGTTTTATTTCACCGACTTGGAATAAGGAGATTGGGGTCACTTTCATTCAACCCCTCACTCTGAATGTCAGTTCTTGCAACATATAACTTTGGGTTCGATTTCCTGTGACAAGTGTGTAACTGACTGATAGTTGCAGCTTCTATATCCAGAACCAGACCCAGCAAGTTCTACAGCAATGCTGAAGTGTAGATCAGTTACAAAGACTTAAAAAGTCAGCTCTTCTGGTTCAGGAAGCTGGGGGTTTCATGGGTAATATTCACCATTCAGTTTCAGTTCAGAGTGGGATTAAGCAGTCAGGGCTGTAGTCGACACATTGATCAACTCTACATGAAAAGCACCACACATAGTCTTAATCCAACAGAAGTAATCACCATCTTTAGCTGCAGAGAGCGGTGTAGCTCAGTAAAAGTTACATAATGCTGCTTTAACACCTACTTCTACTATTACCTTTAAAAATTGGAGATGGCAAAGGAAATGTGTGTGATTGCTTTTACCTTTCTCGTCTCCCCATCCGGTGACAAAGCAGGGCTTTCCGGCGGGCATCACAACTCCAGGTTTGGGCAGACAGACGGGGCTGATCGCATCAGTCATATTGACAGGCTCAGCCAAATGCACCAGAGCGATGTCATTGGTGATGTCGCTTTTATCCTGCTCGTAGACGAAGCCCTCGTGCCGAATGATACCGTCCACCATGTAGCACTTCTCTGCTGAGGGAACATCCATGGAGGAGTTCATGTGGTGCTTCCCCAGACACATGCGCCAGTAAGAGGGTTTATTCAGTGGCCTGGAGCGAAGGTGGAGGAGAAAATCAGAACTTGTTTGACTTTTTTACTTTTGGACACTGTAAAAAAAATGAAGGCAAATAAGTGTTTCTCAGAGCTGCAGCTTTTAAACCTTCAATTACATTTTTTTGTCAGCTGGGGGCAGCAGAAACCAGTCCTAACACATCCCCATTTTTGTTGATGTAAAATTGTTTGTATGAATATGCTTATTTAGACATCTGCCAGTTGTAGAGCCACATTCATTCATTTGGAGTTGTGTCTCTGGTCACCGGACAAAGTTCTTTATTTAGCTCAGTTTTTAGTCTGAAACTTGTAATAAAGCTTTGCCCTGATTCATTATTACAATCAAAATAGTAGCTGCTTCAAAGAACAGCAGGTTTTTAAAATGGCAAGTTCTGTACTGTATATCTTACACCATGAAACAGTGAGCAGCCGTCAGGACCCACTCTTCGTGGATCAAAGAGCCTCCACAGCTGTGCATGTAAGGAATGGAAATAAATGGTGTAACCTATGGAAAGAGAAATACATTTACACTTCTTTATCACTTCTTCATCAGTCAGTCAGGCACACAGAGATACAGGAGTCAACGGTACCTGCATGGAGACTTGCCAGGGCCAGGAGTGTGGGATCGCTTCTACCCCATTGACCACCCTGAGTGTCGCTGTGTTGGGTTTCACTGCTGGGTTTCCACAGTTTTCTGGCCAGCCTGGCAAGAGAAGATGTAGAATTCTGTTATTTATACATAATATACAAAATAGTGTGGTAATGTGGTATTAATGACTTTCTTTAATAATGTAAGATATGGAGGTTTCTTTGACATTTTTACCATTTTTGCAGTGAATAATTCATAGATTTTTATGAAAAAAAATAATTTATGGAACTGATATCTATGAGTGTGTGTAATTTGATGCTGCTTGATTGAATCTAAATCCTTAAAACCCTGCATTTGACCAGCTAGGCCCCTGCTTCAAGTACATTCCCAAAAGGAATAGAATATATCTCTGAAACTACATGGTCAATATGAATAATATTGGCATCTATATAAAGGTTATGTTGTTTTAGAGTGTTAATCCTCTTTGAAATCACGCAGTTGTAGCATGATTTCATGTGGCCCGGTGGGTTTTAAGAAGTCAAGGAGACTGTATTCTTAAACACAAATGTTTAGAAAATGTGAACCTCTACAGGAAAACACACAACCCACATCAGAGACACAGGGCTGCTGAGAGATGGACCAGTCCAACACTTACTGATAGTGACATTGTCCCATGGGTTGGGAGATGGAGGAGGTAAAGTTGGGATAACACTGGCATCAGTGGTCCAGTAACCGCGGAAACCCTGCTGTTGATTAGCTCCATTACTAAGGAAGCGAATGATGACCATGTGGCCGGGGATGGTGATGGTGGATGGAGGGGTGAAGCCACAGAATCGTCCTGCAGAACAGAGAAAATATTAAGTTTCCTCATCACTGTACAGCTTACTGAAAACAACATCTCAGACAATGATTAGAATGACCTGCACAGAAAAGACATAATAATAGACATAATATCAGATTTAGCACGAACCTGATGATGCCATGCTTTCTCCATTGAAGACCTCCACATAGTCCACACAGTTTCCTAAAGTGTTCACGGCCTGCAGCTCAAAGTGAGTGAAGGTTACATGGACACTCTTCGCTGAAGGAATGGTGATACGCCACGTACACACAGACTGGGCCTGGTAGTCATTGGGCCAGTTAGGAGAGGTGATTTCCCCCTGAGCACTGCTGAAGCTTCCTCCACAGGGAGCTGTGTGTGTGTGTGTGTGTGTATGTGTGTGTGTGTGTGTGTGTGTGTGTGTGTGTGTGTGTGTGTAGGAGAGAACAAAGGATTAATTTTTGCCTGGAGGTTATTCCCTCAGTGTCTCAGATTTTTTTCTGCTGTCTTACCCTCTGCAGGGTCCACTGCTCTCCAGCTGGCGATGAAGCCTGTGTCCACCACGTTTTTGTTGGAGGAGAAGGAGATGTGAAGAGTTTCTCCTTCACTCACCAGGTCTTTTGGGGGAACATGGCTGCAGAAGGTGCCTGAGGAGAGGTGAACATCAACAAGTCTTGGTCAGACTTTTCGACAACCTCTGTTCTGATGCTGTAAGTTTATTTATACCTTAATGAGTTGCTTATTGCTTCTTCGCCCAGTTTTATATTATACATGCATGACATATATTCATGGAAATTTGGTGCCAACTCAAATAAAAATCCTGATCAAGTGAATTTAAATGTGGTTACACAAGGGAACTGTTGGGTCTTGGTAGAGGTATGGACTCTACTTGTTTTGCAATAGATTTGTTTAATGCATCTAATTGTGTTTCTCATACAAATCTTGATATATC